TATATATTATATATATATATATATACACTGAGTGGCCAGTTTATTATGACCACCTGACGTTTGTAGGCAAATTAGCTATAATTTCGCTATGAAGTTGCTAGAGGGCCAGACTATTATAAATAAGGAAGCAGGTTGTTTACCACGACAGTAGAAGTGATTTTTTTCGGAAGATATGGGTAAACAACACGATTTACCAGCCTTTGAACGAAGCGAGTATCAGCAAAACAGCAGAATTCGTTAAATGGTGGGCTCATTGTTAAAGTGTATAAAGACTGCACTGTCAGCCGAAAATCTGGGTCTGAACGTGCAAATTGTGGCCGTCAGCGACTAGTCAATGTTAGGGCAGAGCGGAGAGTGGCAAGACTGGTACAAGACAACAGAAGGGCAACAGTGCAGTGTCAGATTCCTCGCATCACCTTTCAACATCTCGTGGAGTCACGAGGCGGCCCAACAAAGTCATCTCGTGGAGTCATCTCGTGGCCCAACGAAGTACTGATGGGGTGGTCATAATAATCTGGCCACTCAGTGTATAATGAGATTCATAAGACAATACACATTAATAATGTGTTTAGGCTCAATATCACTATTGTGTTGCAGTAATGCATTACAATAAGCATTACTTGAGTTGGTGCAAAGCGGTGCCATTCATTCTGAATGCCACCCAAAACTCCATGCTGACAGAGGTGTTGCAGTGCAGTACACTGTAACACACTAGCATGTGCTGCCAGTAATGGTACATGTACCATTTTGGTCCATTAGACAGCCTATTTAAATGAATGGGCTGCCTTAACGTAACGCAGGTTGACACGCGTGCATTAACGCACCGCAACCATGTGAATGGTTCTTTTCAGTTTAGAGAATCTTAGGCTGATCCACTCAAGCTAGCAAAGTAACTTTAACAGAAATGTAGCAGTCAGGGTTTGATTTATCTCCAAGCTCCTGATGTTGCATTTTAAGAAGTGAAAGAGTCTCAGTACACACTTGAAAGTATAATGTTACAGGAACTCTGTGGCCAGGCCTTGGCCTCTTGTTTTTCCCTGTACAGAAGAGATCAGAACATGGTGCTTGAACAAAGTTTCCACAGAATAATTAGCTGTGTGCCAAAGGTGCGGGATTTTGGAAGTTAAAAAAAATCCGAATTTATCCCGAGTTAGTATTGCATTACTGTTTCAATATACAATGTCTGCTGGTCACAACCTCAGTACTGTACCCGCTAGTTACATGCATCTTTTTTTTTTCTTCAATCAATTGCAAGATTTTTAGTTAAGTTTACATAAAGTTTTGCTGAAAAGAAATGTACAAAGACAACCATTCAATTCAGGATTAGTCACCATGGCAACTGAAATGTGGTGACTGAGACGGGGGAGGCTGCACTGCTCTCCGTTTCCTACCAGCTGTCATGTGCAAACTCTAAAGCAAGAGCTCCAGCCAAAATATAGACGGGTATCAGCACTAAGAAATCCTATCTATATTTTTTATAAATTGGTACAAGTATCACACTATAAAGGAAGAACTTAATCCCTCCAACTAGATGACAGATGCTTGGCTCCCTTTTGGGAGTCCGATGGAGGCATAGCAGGATGCTTTGTAGTAGAACCTGGATTATTGGTAAACCCCCTTCTTATGTTATTGCAATGTGGTGTAAAATAAAGCACTAAACTTGCTGTCAGCAATGTGTGTGCCTAGCAGACCTAAATGCTGCGTGTACAGAAATTATTCTGAGGATCACTTTTTCATATTTCATTAAAAAAAATCTTATAATACTGTCAGCTTGTTTATATAGTGTTTTATCACATTTCCAGACCTGTCAATGAGTAGTATTGGTAAGATCCAAGGCCTGTTATGTCCTCTGTAGTCATTTTGAACAAGTGTCCAAGTGTTGCTCCTCTCATAATTTTCAGTAGAGACCACTTTAGTTAAGAGGAGCTGAACTCTGGAAGTCCCCCCCAAAAAAGAAGGCACCAGTATTTCCTATGGTCTCCCTGGAGCTGATACAGTATTTTCCCCATTGCTGACTCACTATGTCTTGCTCTGTACCGAGTCTCT